AGCCCAAGTCAGGAGGACCTAAGTTTAAATCCAGCCCCATACACTTACTAGCTATGTGACCCTGGGTAAGTCACTTAATCCCAATTGCCTCACCAAAAAAAAAAAAAAGAAAAGAAAAGAAAGAAAAGGGAGCCATTCATGGGGCAAGAACAAGGGAGAAGCAATGAAGAATCCACTGGTATCTGTGCAATGGCAAGAGATGTCAAGGCAGGGCTCCCATGTATAAGGTGGACCCCATTTGGAAAATGTAAGAAGTCATGGACAAGAATAACACAGGATGAGATGGAATGGATGGGTTATGTTCTTCTCTGAGAAGGAGAGTGTCTATATCTATGTCACAGATCCACTGAAAGAACCTAGTGCTATCCAGTTACCATCAGTCAAGAACTGGAAATTAGCCCTATTAGATAAAGGGAGGCAAAATCCAGGCAGGGAAAATCAGAGACAAAGTCCTTCACTGTAAAATATTTTCTAAGCTCTGGTCTACACAAACTTAAATATCTCACTGCCCTTATTCTCTCAGATTTAACATGTAACTCTCAAGACAAATTGTAGCCAAAAGAAATGCAATGTTTACAGGACTGTCAGGGGGTCTATTATAGATCTTAATGTGACCAACAGAGGTTGCAGGGGTTGTCTGTGTAGGTAGCAACTCTTACGCAATTCAGACTTTTTAGGATACCTGCCTGGTTTTTTCAGTAACTTTCTCAGTGAACTGCGGGCTAACTAGTGGTATCTTCACATTTATTCCAGAAGGGCACGATTGCCCTCTTCCCTTTTCAATAATTCCCTAGGGCCTCTTATGGCGACTGGAGTAGGGGAGAATGAAAAACCTCTGGATGTAAGGAATCCTGAAGTGTTCACAGTTTAGGATAGGACTTCAGAATTTTAAAGAGTCCTAACACTGATGTTTTCTATCATGAGACACACGAACACTGAGAGGAAAGGACACTTGAATTGATTTGGCACTGAATTCTATGATTTTGGACAAGTCTCAACCTCTCTGCGTCTGTTTTCATGTATGTAAAATGAGAGGGTTGAACTAGATTATACAATCATAGATTTAGAGCTGGAAAGGACCTCAGAATTAATGTAGACAACCCCCTCATTTTACAGATAAGGAAACAGACTGAGAGAATTAAGATGCTTGCTCAAGGTCATAGAGGTAATAAATGGCAGATATAGGATTTGGACCTATATCCTCTCGCTCCAAATCTAGTGCTCCTGTCAAAATATCCCTTTAAGCTCTAAAAGCAAATACATACCAAAGCATTGCAGCCTCCTCCTGGGTGCCTCAAAAACAGCAACTTTGGAAAAGTCTAAATAGGAACTAAGGACGTCGTGAAAACAATACAACTTTGTTAGCAAAATGCATTTTAATGGCTACATGTGGGTTAACAATTTTTATACTATTATTTATCAGACTAAATCAAAGCACTGTAAAAATGGCTTGACAAAACTTTTTTGGAAGTACTTTTAAGTAAGAACTTTCACATTTCTTCCCAACAAAGATTAACGGAGTATATAACTACCCTCATCTTAGTCTTATCTTCTGAGTCTTCCCTTTCCCTTACCTCCCACATAGTTACTCTGCACATCCAGTTGTTTCCTTATCCACAATCACACACATAGTCCTCTTTTAATTCCTACAACCACCATAGATCTTTGTCACAATTGGTCTGGACTAATGCAGTAGCTTACAAACAAGTCTCCTTGCCTCCACATTCTTGCTCTTTCAATCTTTCCTTTTTACAGCTGTCAGAATAATCTTTGTCTATCTGTTCAAGAGTCTGCCATGACTCTATTGCCTCTAAAGTTAAAGCAGGGGCAGGTAGGTGGCACAGTAGATACAGTGCTGGCCCTGGAGTCAGGACCAGAGTTCAAATACAGCCCCAGTCACTTACTAGCTGTGTGACCCAGGACAAGTCACTGAAGCCTGTTTGGCATAGTTTCCCCATCTGTAAAATGAGCTGGAGAAGAAAATGGCAAACCACTCCAATATCTTTGCCAAGGAAGCCCAAATGGGGTCATGAAGAGTCAGACACTATGAATTAATAACAAAGGTTATGATTCCTTTCACATTCAAATCTCTTCACAATCTGTTGTCACCCCAAATTTCCAGCCTTCTGTTTTATTCCTGTCCTACACTTTGTGCTCTAGCCAAACTACATAACATTGTTCCATTGCCCAGTCTGTTGTTTTGTATAAGAATCAATCCATGCCAGGGAGCAGCTAGGCAGCCCAGTGGATAGAGCACCAGCCCTGGAGTTAGGAGGACCTGAGTTCAAATCCGACCTCAGACACACAACATTTACTAGCTGTGTGACCCTGGGCAAGTCACTTAAACCCATTGCTTAGCCAAAAAAAAAAAAAAGAAAAAGAATGAATTGATCCATGCCTACCTAGCAGGTTCTCTTTGTCTTCTCTTTTCTTACCTAACCTTTTGCTGAGAGGAGAAAAATCCACCTTCCCACAGCCTTCTGTGATTCCTATTTAGTAAGAACTGTCCCTGTTGGCCCTCACATATCACTGTTCTGTAGTTCTCAAATACACTTATATAATATTACACTGGGCTTAGTACTTGTCACTCTACTCAACTGTTAGCTCTACGAGGGGAACCTCTTTGTGTTTCCCCTGGTCCTGAACACAATCTTTTGCATGCAGTAGTACTTGAATAAATGTATTTCCATCTCCATGCCTTTGCTTATGCTCCTCCCAGTTCTAGAAAGCCCTGTTTTTGCCTCCTTTGTCTATTTCTCCTTTAAAACCCTTGGTTGATAATCTTTTTCCCTTTGGATCTCATAAAACATTGTTTTCTGCTTCTCTAAAGTTTACATGTGAATATTTTCACTTTTCCAAAACTGATGTTTTTGAGGCACCTAGGAGGACACCTGAAATGCTTTGGTTTAGTTTCACTTTTAGAGCTTAAAGCTTAAAGGGATATTTTGGCAGGAACACTAGATTTGGAGCGAGAGGATAGAGGATAGAGGATACACGGGCTCAGTGGATACAGTGCTGAGCCTGGAGTCAGGAAGATTCATGTTCCTGAGTTCAAATCTGGCCTCAGACACTTACTAGCTGTGTGATCCTAGGCCAGTCATTTAACCCTATTTGCCTCAGTTTCCTCATCTGTAAAATGAGCCTGAGAAGGAAATGGCAAACCACTCTAGTATCTTTGCCAAGAATACCCCAAATGGGGTCACAAAGAGTTGGACACAACTGAAAATGACTGTACAATAACGACATGTATGTAACGTGTATTACAATTAACAAAGGATCCAGGTGTACATGTACCCAATATCATTACTAGACTATAAACTACAATCATCCCTTCCACATCACAGGGTTTAGGGGTATGGTGCCCCAGCAATCTGGCCATATGTAAAATTTTTTGGTCCTCTATACCAGAGAAGTCTGAATTTCTTCTTTTTCTTTTATGGGGTGTTAACAGTACCTTATTGTAAATTTTGGGTTAAATATTTGGTCAGAGATGGGGAATCTGCAGTCTGGAGATGGGGAATCTGCAGCCCTGAGGTCACACATAGCCCTCTAGGTCCTCAAGAGTGGCCCTTTAACTGAATCCAAACTTCACAGAACAAATCCTCTTATATGGGTGGGGAACCTGCAGGATTTGTTCTGTGAAGTTTGGATTCAGAGGGCCACACTTGATGGCCTAGAGGGCCACATATGTCTTCAAGGCTACAGGTTCCCAACCCCTGTCATAGGCTATATGTAGGTCAATGTTAAGTAAAAATACTAGCCTTTGTGTGTTACCTGCTGGCTTTCACATTCTTTTTGCAAACTTTAACTTTTTACTTATTTTAACTTTAAAAAAGAAACTATACTTATGGTATTAAAAGATAAAATATGTTGATGTTATGCAATACTCTACATATATTTTATGCATTTCTGAGTTTCTAAACTTTTTTGTGGGTCATTCCCTGGCCTTCCCGTGTTATCTGTCACTTCTACATAACTCCCCCAAAACTTCTATTTAATTTCTTATGCTGACTCCACAATATATCACAATTGCGATGGGGAAAATTGCAGTGTGGAAAGGATAACTGTATAAGAGGACAGGTACCAGGGCTTAACTTCATATTTAACCTAGTACTAATTAGAGCAATGTGCACACAGTAGATGCCTAATAACTGTTGAAGTGGCTGAAAAATCATTAAACTACTGGAGAATTAAGAGTTCTGGTTTCTAGTCATGATGACTGGTGATCCACATTTCATAAAAATAAGTGGCAGCTATACTGTGAAAATATTAAATGATAATTAGTTAAGATGGTGTGCATTTGGACAGCAGCCTGTTTGGAATTTGATAAAGCAGTTCAGGTTTGTACCAAGTTTAATTATCTTTCCATTTCCTCCATGTAGGGCAGTTACTAAATTCTTTTCATTTCTCTTGTAGTTTACACAGGAAAAATACAGCTACTGAATTAAAGTATGTTTCTAGTTAATGCTACACAAGTATTCAGTCTTATCCAATGAAACTTGATTTGGACAAATAATTGTTAAATGATCACACAACTAAGGTTATATACTTAAAATGGCAGAGACAACTAGGATAATTAATACTTGTTGACAAAAAGCTGGAGCATCAAAAGCACCACTTTAGCCTAAATCAGTACTTAGCACAGTGCCTGGCACACAACAGGCACTTAATAAATGTTTACTGACTCTACTGATCATTATTTTCAAGACATCTTTTGGTTAACTGGTCATATCCCAACTTGCTTCTTATATGCCACTTCTCACACATGCCCCCTGCCCTAAATGTTTATAGATGGAGTTTCCACTGAAAAACCATTACCTGGACAGTGAGCACTTCCATTCTGTCTCAGTACCTTCCCATACAGTTTACACTTCCCATCATCAAAGACTGATTTTCCTGTCAAGACTGGAAGCTGGAATGCCTAATACTTGCCTTGCTCATCAGCTAGTGACAGTAGCTGGGCTGGCTGTGACATGATTAACTCAATGAAAAGACATTTATTAGAAATCTTTTATGTGCTGCTTTATTCAAGTAAAAGTTCTCAATTCTTGTCGCCAACAGATTTGAGCAGCTCGGCGGCTTCTTTTTGTACCTAAAATGAGAAACAGTAATACAACTCAACATTCTGAGCCCAACACTATTCTTTCATAAATATATCAATACATCCAGTACCTACAGTTTGTAGGGGAGCTCCTTATACCAACACAGATTACAACTGGTTTGTACATGTAATTAATAGGTTCACAGAATTTCCTTAAGCTCAGAAAGACTGAATGATTTTTCCACAGTCTCACAATTAATATGTGAACCTCAATCTTCTTCACTTTAAATTCAACAGTCTACCCATTCTGTTATGTCCTGCCTCTTTTACAAATAAGTGGTGAAAATTAATTAAATTTACAACAATGGTCAGTATATTCCAAGAATTCCCACACCAACAGAATCTATTATTTTATTCTGTCTCTTGGCAATGAATAAATACAATTCCTTCAAAACACTTTTACTTTCTATGGCAGTACATGGCTATGACACCTCATTCACACCATTACTAATTGTTCCTTTAGTTTAGTAAAGTAGTACACTAGTGAAATTATCCTATACTATATCAAGTAATTCTTTTTTGGTTAAAATATGTTCAATCATAACAACTAAGGATTTTTCATATAGAAACCAGAGTATAAAAGGCCATTAAATATAATTTGTGAAATGACTAGTACTGCACTTAATCAGATTCATGATTTTAAAAGAAGACAAGGCTCAGTTCTAATTCCTTCAAGTTCGTTAATATCTGATGTGTAATTAGCTCTAATCTATTAGTCAGATTCTACATTTTCTTTTCTTCTTAAGAGGGGAACCTCTTTGTCAGCTCTTTAGCTTTTTACCTGTTTGTCCTCCTCTGTGTGAGCTGGGTAGTCCTTGGCTTTCAATAACCAGAAGGCAGCAAGCTTTTTGTTTTTTAACTTCAGATAAGTCTTTCCCAAGAAAAGCAAATTTTTGCTGTAGAAGTTTGGATGCACTGAACACAGAAGAAAGAACATATTCACCTCAATTTGGTCGCAGTTACACTGTTTTGATTCGTAAAGACTATGGATTTTCTGTCTAAATTTCATGAACAGGTTAATGACTTTCATGTGCAAGGAGCATACTGCTGTAGTTCTTTTTTATGCAACTGTTCACATCAAATGCATTTCTGGGAAAATTATAATTTTGGCCAAAACATCTACATCAGTTGTATTAGATGTGTTGTGACCAAACAAGACAATGTAGTATGTGAAACAAAACAAACCACACTTCTCAGATGACCACCACTGAGGCCGAAGTGATTTCGAGTGTGACCAGACAGCAGTTTTATTACTTCATGCTCTCTCATCTGTCTGTTCTGAACTGAATATTCCACTTTCAGGGTGACTATTACAGATATAATTTCAGTTGCTGAAGTGGTTAGAAAAGAAAGATTATATAAGTTCAAAGAAGTACAAATGAGGCGACAAAAAGCTTGAGGAGGGCAAGTGACTATTTTAAGGATACAGATGGCCAGTGTGTGACAAGATTTACTTGTTCCTGGTCCATCGTTCTTCCTAGTACTTAACACAGGCTCTGGTATACATCAGCACATTATGCTAAAAGACAGTAAACAAGATAGGTATTATACAGTTTTTCTTTTATTGGGATTATCACTCATGAGGAGTCACACCTGCCTAGCCTCACTAACTTCATTATTTCTTGATTTGAAACTCATGCTCAAGGTGCTAAGCCTACTCACTGAAACCTGAATTCTTTATCACATGTACAGTTTATGAATTTCCACCTCTGTGATGCTATATAATCTTCTTAACAATGAATCCCTCCCTTAAACTAGACTCAAAACCAACATCCAGAAATAAATCTGTAACTGATCCCATTTGCTCAGTACTCTGTGAGTGATCTGGAACTTCACCTGTGTTAGTCATCTGAAGTCATCTATACATTTCCATGTAATGATTCTTAAGTTCATAGTTATGTATTGTATATTCCACTCTCATGAAGATACTTTGTAAGTTGAAGTCTGTCATAATTTTACAGCTAATTTTCTTCATTCTTTTTACAGTACAACATAATTCCTTGAGGGCAGAGACTGTTTTTGTCTTTATATCTCTAGAATCTAACACAACAGTAGGCTTTTAATAAATGTTTGATTTTTAAATAAAGTTTTTTAATACTTTTCTTTCAAAAAGAAATTAGCATTGTTTTAAATGGGAAAAGCATTAGCCAGGATGCCAAAAGACCTGGTTTATGGTATCATCTCTGTATCTGATTTACTAAGTAAGGGCACTTGCACCTTTGTTTCCTCATTTGTAAAATGAGAAATTGGAAGTACTGATGTTTAAATACTTTCCAACCTCAAAATTCTGGATTCTTAATTCAATAGAAGCATGTTTTCCACTTAGGCTTTTCTCTAAGTTTAACATTTTTAATAAAAAAAATTAGTGAAATGCATCAAATATGGAAAATGAATTGTTAAAGAAATCATCACATACATTTTTACATATTCTCATAATTTTAAACGTGTATTATATTTAAATGTCTAACATATGCACATGTATGTGTATATATATATATTTGACCAAAAATATTACCTTGTTCTGCCATTTGAAAGTATTTTAGAGCCTGTTAAAGGAAAAAAAAATGTTTAAGGAGAAAAATATTTTAAAAGTTGTTTTAAAGGTACTCTTCATTAAAAATCTGTCTCCATTTTTTTTTAAAGCAATTGGGGTTAAATGACTTGCCCAGGGTCACACAGCTAGTAAGTGTCAAGTGTTTGGTCTGAGGCCACATTTGAACTCAGGTCCTCCTGACTTCAGGGCTGCTGCTATCCACTGTGCCACCTAGCTGTCCCCTATGTCTCATTCTTACAGCAATGAAACAGTCTTATATTCCAACTTTTCTTCTTAGAATGGATGTTCTCTGTATTTTTATTTTCAGTTCCAAATTCTTTTTTTCTCCCTCTTCTGCCCCTCCTTCACCCATTGAGAAGGTAAAAAATATAATATCATTATAATATGAAGCCATACAAAATATATTTCTGAAACAGCCATGTTCCATGGGTGGGGGGAGAAAAGCAAGAAAAATAAAGGAAAAAATGCTTCACTTTACACTCTGAGTCCATCAGTCCATCTCAAGGTGGATAGCACTTCACATCATGAGTCCTTTGGTGTTGTAGTAGATCACTGCACTGATCAGTTACTAAGTCTTTCACGATATTGTTTCACATCACAACAAAGATTCACAGCAATCTTTATAATACTGCTGTCTACTGGGTATACCGTTCTACTGGTTCTGCTTATTTCACTTTGCAACAGTTCATATAAGTCTTCTCAAGTTTTTCTGAAACCAACTCCTTTATCATTTCCTATAGCAAAATAGTATTCCATTACATTCATATACCATAATCTGTTCAGTCATTCCCCAAGTGATGGGCACCTCTCAGTTTCCAATTCTTTGTCACCACAAAAAGAGCTGCTATAAATATTTTTGTACACTCAGGTCCTTTTCCTTTTTCCTTGATTTCTTTGGGGCACAGACCCAGTAGTGCTATTGTTTGGTCAAAGGTTATGCACAGTTTTATATATAGCTGTTTGGACTTAGTTACAAATTGTTCTGCAGAATGATCTGACAGGTTCATAGTTCTACCAGCAAGTGCATGTACTTCTTTTTCCACATTGCTTCCAGCATTTGTCATTTTCATTTTCTGTCATCATAGCCAACGTGAAGGGCGTGAGGTGGTACCTCAGAGTTGCTGTCTCTTTGAAAAAAAAAAACTCGCTTAAGCTCATCTAGGAATTTAAAATTTTTTTTTTTAGGCAGTTGGGGTTAAGTGACTTACCCAGAGTCACACAGCTAGTAAGTGTCTAGTGTTTGGTCTGAGGCCGGATTTGAACTCAGGTCCTCCTGACTTCAGGGCCGGTGCTCTCTCCACTGTGCCACCTAGCTGCCCCCTCATCTAGGAATTCTTGTTGGGATTGTATTCAATCTGCATTTTGCATGGAAAATTTGGTTGTAAATGTTTTCAAGTCATTTTCTTCCAAGTTTGTGTCTTGAGCTTTCCTGTTGCCAGAGTAGCTTTTTATGATCAAGTTCTTTTTTTGGTCATTTGCTCATTTTTCCAGCCTGTCTCTTAACTTTAGACTTTAGGTTAGAGTTGGGCTCTGTTCACCTTAGGGGTGGAAGAATATCTGGCCTGATCTTCTGACTTCCACGTCCAGCTACTTTTACAATTAAGTGTGAGGGTCTGTAAGTTTTCAGTGCTTCCAAGGCGATGTCATCTGGGTAAATAAAGTTCTGGTCACTGCCCTCCGAGTCTGTGCTCTGGCCTTTAACCAGGGAGGGCCCCTTTCTCCCTCACAATTAGAACTGCTCTTCTCTGCCTTTGAACCACGACCTGCACCCAAGTAGGACCCCTGCTCCCTTAAAACTGCAACCATTCCTCTCCACCCTGGAACTGCAACCCAGAACTATATAATGGGCAATGGAACTGCCAAAGGATGCCTGATCCTGAAGCTAGCTCTGCCTGTATTGGAGTATGGTGTATTGAGAATCTTTTTTCAGGTATGACTGTGACTAGGTGATCTCTTCCAACTCTGGGATTCTGTGATTCTGTGATCTGTGTTTCCTCTAGAATGAAGATATAGGTAAGAATTCCATAATAAATGAACTGAACAAAAGACATTACATTACCTCCTCGAATGTGGAAGTGGGAGGAGTTGCAAACAACACTTTAGCAATGTTTCTTTGGTACCAAGGCAATTCAGCAAATGAATAACACCTAGAGGGGAAAAAATAACATTAAAAAGTACCCAAACTACTTTAGCAATCATTTTTGCCCCAAAATCTAATGCATCTTAAAGATTTTACAGTATAAACTCAAATTTTTTTCCCTTCGAGTGATTTGTTTGCTTCACTTATTACTCTTCATACACTTCTACTAAGTTAACATGGGTGCTGATGGTAAAAGTATCAAGCAAATCCAGCAATGGACCAAAATCAACCTATAAGGTCCTTTTTCCTATATTTCATCATAAGAAAATAAACGATAGTATCCAGTCTTTGCCCTTGTTGTGAATTGTGGTAGAAGAATATGAAATGTTTGAGAGAAAATACTAAAAATCAAACCAAGTGGTCAAGTTAGAAACAATTTTGTAGAGATGATAAAAATCCCCATTTTTGCAAGGACATAGGATAATACAAACAATAATAGTCAACAAAAGAGTGATATATAGCAAATCATTGGATATGGTGAGTGAGTGAAAGTAAGAAGTCAAGAATTACAGGGAGATTATAAGCCTGAGGGACTGGAAGGATGATGGTATCCTTAACATAAATGTTCACAAGGCAACTGGCAATTCAGGCCTAGAGATCAGGACAGATATGAAGGCTGGATATATAAATTTGAGAATCATTTGCACAGAGATAAATAAACCCATGGAAACCAATGAGGTCACCAAGTAAGAATGTAGAGTGAAAAAGGGGCTCAGAACTGTGCTTTGGGAATACATTCACAGTAAAGAAGCATGATATAGATGATGAGCCAGCAAAAGACACTGAGAAATAGTGGTCAATCAGAGAGAAGAACCAAAGACAGCAGTGTCACAAAAACCCAAAAGAGACGGTATCCGGGAAGAAAGGGCAATAAGTAGGAGAACCGAGAAAAAAGTCATCACATTTGGCAATTAAGAGATGAATGAGAGCAGAAAACAGACTGCCAAGGGTTGAGAAGTAAGCAAGAGAGACCAAATGAAGACAAATATTTTTGGAGTTTGGCTGCGAAAAAGAGAAGAGATACAAGACAATTGCTTAAAGGGAATGGGAGGCTACAGTGAGAGTTGCTTAAGCATAGGGAAGATTAAGACTTGCTTATAGGAAAGGAACCAGTAGAAAGGAAGGAACCCAAGATTAGAGAGGAGGGAGAATAGTTGTGGAGGCAATTTGCTGGAGAAGACAGGAAGAAAACACATGATTTTATAACCAAGTTTAATATTTCTCTAGGATCTAACCTGCAGATACTGAATCATTTTCTAAAAAGCACTTTCAAATTATGCTTTTGATATACTTCGGAATACAGAATTTGCTTACAAAATACACCAAAACAAGTTTCTTTAAATAAAATAGCTTTGGGGGAGGGACAGTCAGAAGCAAAACACTTTTGAGGAGGGACAAGGTGAAAGAAGAACAAAAATAAAATAAATGGGGGTGGGGAGGGATAGGATGGAGGGAAGTATAGTTAGCAACAGTAACTGTGAAAAAAAAATTTGAAGCAAGTTTCTCTGATAAAGGCCTCCTTTCTCAAATATATAGAGAACTCAGTCAAATTTATAAAAATAAGAGCCATTCCCCAACTGATAAATGATCAAAAAATATGATCAGCTTTCAGATGAAATAATCAAAGCTATCTATAGCCATATGAAAAAATACTCTAACTCACTACTGATTGAAGAAATGCAAATTAAAACAATTCTGAGGTACTACCTCATACCTATTACATTGACTTAATAGGACAGAAAAGGTAAATGACAAATGTTGGAGGGAATGTGGGAAAAATGAGACATTAATGCACTGTTGGTGGAGTTGTGAAATGATTCAACCATTCTGTAGAGCAATTTGGAACTATGCCCAAAGGGCTATAAAATCATGCATACCCTTTGACCTAGCAATACCACTACTAGGTCTATATCCCAAAACGAAAAGAACTTACACATACAAAAATATTTATAGCAGCTCTTTTCTGGGGATAAAAATTTAGAAACTGAAAGGATGCTCATCAATTGGGGAATAGCTGAACAAGTTGTGGTGTGTGATTATGATGGAATACTATTGTACTAAAAGAAATGATAGGGAGCAGCTAGATGGTGCAGGATAGAGCACCCTTGGAGTCAGGAGGATCTGAGTTCATATCTGACCTTAGACACTTGACACTTACTAGCTATGCATCCCTGGGCAAGTCACTTAACTCTGACTGCCTCACCAAAAATCAAAAAAAAAAAAAAAAGAAATGATGAGCAGGATGCTCTCAGAAAAACCTAGAAAGACATGCATGGGCTGATGCAAAGTGAAATGTACTGTGTGCAAATTTACAACAATAATGTAAGATAATTAGCTGTGATCAGCAATACAATGATCCAAGACAACTCTGAAGGACTTATAATGAAAAATGCTATCCATTGCCAGAGAAAAAAATTGATGATGGGTGACAGAATACAGATTGAAGCATACTTTTTTTTACTTTATTTTTCTAGAGTTTTTTTGTGTCTGTTTTCTTTCACAAAATGACTATTATAGATATGTTTTGCATGACTACACATGTATAACCTATATTGAATTGCTTGCCTTCTCAATGAGGAGGGGTGGGAAGTAAGGAGAAAGGATAATTTGGAACTAAAAGTTTTAAAAAGGAATGTTAAAAATTATCTTTACATGTAACTGGGGGAAAATAAAATACTAAATAAAAGCTAAAAAAAAAAGAAAAAATCTTGGGGCAGCTAGGTGGCATAGTAGATAGAGCACTGGCCCTGGAGTCAGGAGGTCCTGAGTTCAAATCTGGCCTCAAACACATAATACTTGCTAGCTGTATGACTCTGGGTAAGTCACTTAACCCCAACTGCCTCACCAAAAAAACCAAAAAGAAAAAAAAAAAGAAAAAAAATCTCCTCAAGAAGCTGAAAAAAAAAAATTAAAAAAGCTTACCAAAGACCGATAAGGTGAACTGAGGTGGCATCTTTAGGATTCAGTTCAATTGCTCTCTAGGAAGAAACAAGAATAATATCAAAGTTTATTTCTGAATACTTGCTATTTTTGTTTATAAATTCTGCCTAATAAGTCAGAAAAAGTACATAATTAAAAACAAGTAAAAAAAAACCCCAAACACTTTATAATTCAGTTCCTCTTTGAGAACTGAAACTTTCCCTCACACTAATAATTCAACTTGAACTGACAAAATTCATTTAAATGTATACCTAAAATAGTGACTACAACTACCAGGTGAAGATGCCTTCATGCTTGAAGCTCAGAAACTGATGGCTGAGGCTAGCAGGTAAAATAATAAACACAAGAGGATGCTTCTATGTCTTTAGCTGTCACTCTGCCTGCAATCACCTTTTCTGTTGTTAGAATGTAAGAACACAAGAAAACCTTTTGAAGTTGCAAAGTACTCTTTTCCATTCGTAGATTAATTTATAGAGATATCATGCAGCGTGCTGTAGGGGAAGAGCATAATGGAAAGAGTCAGAACTTTGCTTGAATACCATTTCTGCTACTTAGCTGTGTGACAATTCAAATCAAATCAACAAACATTTACCAAGCACCTGTTTATATGCAAGGTACTATGTTAGGTGCCAGAGATACAAAGGAAAAGATGAAACAATAAATGAGTATTTATCCATGTCAGGCACTGTGTTAGGTGATGGGGTTACAAAGACAAAGATGAAATAATTTGTACTTGCAAGGAGCTTACATTCTAATAGAGGAGATAATGAGTACACTCACACATATTTCATTTTACATTATAACATACATATTATATGTAATATGCTGCTTTTCAGTTGTTTTTCAGTTGTTTTTCTGACTCTTCATGACCCCATTTGGGGTTTTCTTGGCAAAGATACTGGTGTGGTTTGCCATTTCCTTCTCCAGCTCATTTTACAGATGAGGAAACTGAGGCCAAAACAGTTAAGTGACTTGCCCAGGGTCACACAGCTAGTAAGTGTCTGAGGCCAGATTTGAAACCAGGAAGATGAATCTTCCTGACTCCAGGCTTAGCATTCTATCCACTGTATGACCTAACAGCCCCAACGTATATAACACACAAACCTAATATATGGTATATATTATACCATATATAATGTATATGTGTGTGCAGATGTAGTAATATACATAACATACATAATATGATAATTGTAAAGTCAATAAATACATACATATGTCTATATATGCATATTTATATAAAGATATACATATAAAAAGGAAATTTGGGAGAGAGGGCACTAGCAGTTGGGAGGGATCAGGAAAAGCTCCAGGTATTAGAAGGTATTTGAGTGTGTCTTAAAGGAAGAAAGGGACTCTGAGTCAGAGAATCCATTTACAAAGCAAAGAATAATTTTGCAAATTTAGTAAACATACCAGTTCATCTATTTTGATAAATCTATTTTGATTTATCAGATTTATTTATATATTTATTATATTTATCAGATTTATTTATTTATTGTATTTATCAGATGCTTAAATTAGTATGCTTTTGCTTCCTGTAAATGGAGTAACTAGGATCATCGAATTTATTTGTTTCCCTTTTTTTTTTTTGTGAGGCAATTGGGGTTAATTGAGTTGCTCTGAGTCACACAGCTAGTGAGTGTTATCTGTCTGATGCTGGATTTGAACTCAGGTCCTCCAGGGCCAGTGCTCTACCCAATGTGCCACCTAGCTGCCCCAGGATCATCGAGTTTAAAGTTAAAATGCCTATTAGACATCATTTAGTTGTTTTATAGACGAGGAAACTGAGGTCCAGAAGGATGAAATGACTTGGCCAAGGCCATAAAGCAAATAAATAACAAGAGTCATAATCTGATGCCAGATACTTTAAATCCAAACTCAGTGCTTTTATCAACACACTACCTTACCTCAAAAACTAAACTAAATCAATGTTTATTAGTAGAAGACCTGCTTTAATAAATGGTTAAGAAAGACTGGCATATTGAAAATGTAGGCTAAATAATTGGTAATTAAACTATTTATAGTAATCATTTATTTCTAAAATATTTATAGTATGTCTGTTCTATTAAGTAGGAAAATATTCTCCTCATAATCTTGCTTATATAATTTATTTGCTCAAGACCCCTTTTTTCCTTTTTGTTTTGCTTTTCTTTTTTTTTTTGGTAAGGCAATCAGGGTTAAGTGACTTGCCCAGGGTCACACAGCTAGTAAGTGTCAAGTATCTGAGGTTGGATTTGAACTCAGGTCCTCCTGACTCCAAGGCCAGAGCTCTATTCACTGTGCCACCTAGCTGCCCCAAGACCACTTTTAAAAGAGCAAATTTAGCCTTAGCCATAACCCTAGTTCAGCGCCTCCTCACCTTTCCTCTTTTACTTCAATAGGTTCCCAAATGGTTTCTGTCTCATGCCTCTTTCTACTCTAATTCATTCTGAAAAAGGCAGGAGTGGGGTGAAGGAAGACCTTGGTAAGAAGACCACCAGGAGGTTCCAGCAAGCTAAGGTGAAAGCTTATCTCTCAGAGTTGGGGGGCTCAGGGGTAGACTCTGAATTTCAGGAAGGGTAGAGATGATCAGGGAGTCAGGCCAAAGTAGAGATGGCTGGGAAATGTCATGGAGGCTTAATAAATACTTCCTGAGTGACTAGTATAGCACTTAAGGCTTGTGAAGCCTTTTACACAAATTATCTCATTAGATCCTCACAGTAAGCCTAGGAAGTAGGTGCTATTACTATTATCTATCCCTCAATTTATGGATTAGGAAACTGAAGCTGAGAGAAAATACATTCTAATAATATTTAGATATACATGGCCCAAGAAAATAGCAGAGAATACTTTTTGGGGGTGGGAGATATACATATACAAATGTATACGTGTACATATATTTATGTGCACACATATATGTATATATGCAATCAAGTGGTTGTGCACACATATGCATATACATATAGGCATGTATTATCTGAGTCTATTCCTTTCCTACACACATGCATATATGCAGATATACACATATTTGCATGTATATGTTATGTGAGTATGAGGTACTTCCTCTCTCCCAAAGTAAGACTCACATGTGTGTACATACTTCAGGGGTACCTTAATAGAGCCATACTTTTGTAAGTGTGGGCACTTGCTCTTCTAGTTATACTGAAATCCATCCATGCTTTCTTCCTATTTTTATAAATTTTTTTTTTACCCATTATAGGCAAGGCTTTGTTCAAGGTCCTGTGGAGGGATATAAAATGAATAAAACATGGACCTTTTTCCCAAGATCCCAGCAGAGAAAAGTAAGATATGTATAAATAATACATCAATAGAAGTCAGTTTAAGATTAAAAGGTACACCACTGGTACTTTTATGCCTTCTTGTCCCAATGGATCTATAATCTTCCTAATGTAGTTATCCCCCCAATGATGTAGACTGTAATCCATTCATGCCTTACCATCTCGTGTGGCTGCTGTACTCATTCACCCATAAATTCACTAAAGGGAGTCCATTCGATGTACTGGGATGGGGGTAAGAGGGGAGTCTTCCTTCTCTCTTATTCTGTCATTTTGGGGAACATGAGCTATTTGTGGTTGTCCTACACTCTTACAATGTAACTAGTCCATTTTTTTAGTCCATTTCTCAGATAACATTTTTCTCATTACTTCTCCTGCATAATTCTTCATTTGTAATGTTTTTACAGCCTGCTCATACAGCCACGACTCTTATCACTGCTCTCTGGATGATCCACAAAATCAGTGGTATTCCATGACTTGCAGCCATATGGTAACACAAAGAAGAAAACTGGTGTTAAAAGACTGACCAATGATTAAAGGAGAAGTATGGGATCATTAAAAGCACTGAGCAATTTCCCAAAAGTAATGCAGCCTGCTCCCCCTTCTCCTATTTAACTGAGTCCAGCTTACTATCCATTTGTTAAGTCTGTCCCATATACATGTACATGAATGAGCTCTACAAGTTGTCCATCAAACTGCATGTCAAAGTCTAGAAAATAGGTATGCTATGTCCATTTAGTTTTTCCTGTGGAGATAGTTATCCTAAACTGTTTTTAGACTTCATGACTCCTATTGTGGAACCTCTGAAATGTTCCAGGGCTTAATGCAATTAACACAATGTCATCTACCAGCAGGAGTGTCTGAAGGACCTCAATAACTATAGGAATGTCTCTTTAATTTGTACTATGCTGGACCTCATCCATGAAGGTCAAACATCTTTGGAGAATATAGATCTTATTTCATGCTTTGCTTGATATTAACGAGTGGAGCATAACAGAATAGCTTTTTATCTCTGTTGTTACATCTTTCAGGGCATTTTGGATGATTCTGCCAATACACTTTGTTAGAGAAGAGCCTCTAAAAATAGTATTTTTGCTTCAATACAACAAATGCTTTTTTTAAAAAACCATCAACTAACAGGCACTGTGAGGTTTTGTATACAAGATACAAAGTAATGTAGGGATATACTAACAACCTAAGGGTTGGGGTAGTCAGGAAATATGTATGTATATGTTATATCATGCAGCCATATCTACAGAGGTAAATTGACAATTTTATGAAAAGCATCTTCATATTCCAAAGCTGACAATTCACAAGTAATTAATAGGAGCATCAGCTGTGACTCTGGTCCAGTCTGATAGTCATATGGCCTATTATATGGACTAGAACAACATTAAATGAAGAAAAGAAATCCAATTTAACAACTAAATTCACCAGTACCTCAAAATGTTCCTTGATAATGAAGGCATTTCCAATTTTAACCTTGATACCTTCATAATCTCCAACATCGCTGATACAGATAGCATACCACTACAAATAAAAAAAGAAAGAAAATGAGTATTAAGTATAGCTTTAGAAATATTACTTTTGACATAATGGTTCAAAATTTAGTCCTCAAGAAACAGTCAGCTTCAAGGACAGAGTCCTTCCTAGACTGAATCCTTTCTTCTCTGGTCATTTCTATAATTAAGTGCTTTGGAAACTCCACGGAAGTCCATCCCTGGCTACGGTTAGCTAGGAGTTACCTTCTTATATTTTGTTCTGAATAAAAGGACTTTGGATAAAGTTGTCTTTTGGGTTCACAGAATTTAGCCCCTCATTAGAATAGGTCTACCTCTCATTATAATATTCATTGTCTCATTAATTGTAAACCCATCAGAGTTGATTTCTGCCCGTTGGGAACACAGAGTCTTCCAAGGACAAAGAAGTGTTGAAAGGTCACCATGATTTGTCTTTGGTTTATGAGAGAAAGCCAAATGACCATCCTTTTATTAATTATTTGCTAGCCACAATTAATAAAATAATTATCCAGAAATTATCTCTCAAATTTTTCATATGTCGCATATTCTAGATATCTTACCTTGTGAGCTGCAGAACTTGATTCGTTTTTTTCAAGTGCTTTTTTTGCATACACAAAAGCTTCATATACCAGCCGTTTCTTATCTTCTGCAGAGGTAGTACTAAGTTGAGATATATCTCGGGATGCCCGTGCCAGACGCCATAGCAACTCTGCATCCTCACTAGGTTTGAAATATATTATGGAACCTCACTTGTATTCATTTATCTTCTATGATTAGAGATCACTATCATAAATCAATTCTGCCTCTCTGCTCAGTGACTGAAGGAGTATAAATACTATGCAACAATTATTATAAACTTTTTTGAAGAATGTTATAAGAGTTGCATGCACAAAGCACTTCCTTAAGTAACTTGTTCTTTAAACTTACTCAGATCTTTGGAGAACATTTCATTAAATTTGTGATTCCAATAAACAGTCTACAAAAAGTTAACTCAGTAAAACATACTATAAGCCTAATCACAAATACATATATATGACTTAATAACCCAGTGCTTAATTTCTAGAGGCAATACTTGGTAAAAGATTACTCTATTTCCTATGGAATGACTATAAATTCACAAACTAGAAACTACCTAAATGAAAGAACTTGAGAAAATGAAGGATAATTTTAGATTCTTGAAAAGTATCTCATTAGTTCAATACTTTATAAGATCAATCTTTTTATTTTTAACATTTTATATTAGTTGTAGTATTTGTATAATTCAAGGACTCTGGCATAAACTTTTTATAACACCATTAGTCAGGGAAAATAACCTAGTTAATCAGGGTACTATTATTTGTTGATAATGATGAAATCTTCCAGAAGGAACAATAACTTATTTAAAGTAAACATATATATTACTTATGTTTAAAGAAGAGTAATAGCTTTATTTCAAGCAAATGCAAATCAGACTTATTTTTAAAGAAAAGGAATCAGAAACATATTCTTCTGTTTGTTTTTCTAAATATACTGTACAACATAGTGACTACTTACACTTGTGAAATTACCATGTATGATGAATAGGAAAAATGATATTTCAACTTATAAGTAGAGACAACAGAATACCAATCTTCTGTAAAACAGAGATAATCAGGTAAATATAGTAATTCTGTTTCAAAGATATCCTCTATTTGAGAAAGAGCCCACACCATCCATGCTCACTTTAAAATCTGACTAGCCTAATACTTCCTAAATGACCTCTCTACCTCTGTCCAGCAGCCTTCTCAGGATGGCAACACCCTCACTTCAATAGTCTCTTTCTCTGATGAGTACTTTGCCAACCTCCATGTAAGTCCTCACACCATTCACTCTTACTTCAAACCTGAAGCAATTCGATACTCCCTAGATGACTTCTCCAAACAAGCTCTCCTTTTCATCTCCTTTTCAAGTATATTCCCTTATTAGAATAAAGTAAACTCCTTGAGAGCAGGAACTTGCTTGTTTTTTGCTTGTTTTTGTATTGCCATCACATAAGATGCTTTTTCTTCTATGTAAGATAGAAGATACTATACAGTGAATTAAGCTTCCAACCATATTTAAAAACAAGCCAATTTGAAATATAGGACACAATAGTCATCTAAAAAACTCCCCAAAACATGAGACATCATTTTACTTTTTAAAAAGCAAGAGGTTGAAAAAGATATGTCAGTCAAAAAACTTGGGCTACAATAATATTGCATACCTTTGTTTGTATTGGGCCAGCAAATTATAAAGTTTTTCTATTTCTCCACTGCCATATAGGTAGTCTGCTTGTTCAAGGATTTCCTCAACTTCAGAGCATGTAAGGGAAGAGAGAGACAATAAATAAGAGTTTTAGCCAAATTAAAGATGCTAACAGTTCTATCTAATAAGAATATGAACATATAATACATACACATATATACATATCCACATATTTATGCCTATATATAGATATCCACATATCTATATATATATAGATATATGTATACAGAGATATATAAAACACTTCCAAAACAATAAATTTGATTATTACATATGGTTGTCATCTAAAAGCTTAGATTACAGATTCTAAAAGACAAAAATATACTGATATTCTATCAAACAATACACCATAAAAGACTTTTAAAATGTAATAATGATGATAATTACCCTAATGAGAATCAACAGTAATAATGAAAACTACCCCAAGGTACCTTCAAACTTTTCTATTTCTTATAGTTGTCATCATTGTTGATGACTCTCACTGTTATAAAATGAAGAACAATACCAGAATAATTTCCAACATCATGTTAGCATGACTAATATCCATAAGGAGAAAATAACAGAGAAATAAAAACAGTCCTGAACTATGACATAAAATGACCTATGTAATAAAAAATAGAAAACTAAGGCAGGGAGTTTTAGAAAAGGGCAAAAATAGAAACACATAAAGAATTGACAAAATAAACTGCATATAAAAACCATGGGAATATGAAGCACTTGGAATCATATTTCTATCTATAAAAATGCAGGCTACTTGTCTTACACAACCTAATGCTGAGCTATACCTTAATAGTGTAATAACAGTGTTCATACAGAAACTTTACCATTTTCTTTTAAGCTAAATGAAGCTAAAAGCAAGCCCTACACACAAGAAAAAGGAAAGTTCACCTATAAAGACTTTGAGATAGCTTTTTAAAACAATTTTATCATCCTTTATAGACTAAGATAATGATACTGACCTACAGTTACTAAGATATATGTTTGAAGTTGTTTTTCCAGCAGTAAAGATGGTAAATTTCTGAATTATTCAACCATACTATCTCATCCAATTCCATTATAAAAGAAACAGTTCTAAAGCTGTTAAAATATAAAAAGATTAAGCAAGTAAACTGTGGCCAAGTAACTGAATGAAGCTAATTAAAGCAATTCAATTCAACAAACATTTATTAGTGTCTACTGTATGCAAAGCACTGTGTGACACTCTGGGAACATAAAGAGAAAAAATGACCCATAAGGGAATTAAACGTTCATTTCTTTAGTCATACTTTTATAAAACAAATTAGGAAGTCAGGTATAATTTCAAAAATCCCAAATTTTGTAAGCTGTTTTGCGCCTATCACTGGAAGGATGGTTTTTGAAAAGCAGTAAAATACTGTTTTACCACAAACTAAGGCTTTTTGTTTTCCTAGAATGTACACCAACCAAAATCTCAAACTCAATGTGACCAAAACTGAATTTATCAGATTTCTCCACTAAATCCTCTCCTTCAAACTTCCCTATTTCTGTTCAAGTCACCTAAGCTTATAATTTTGGGGTCAACTCAGACAATTCCCTTTCCCTCATCCCCTTAAATCCAGTTTGCCAAGTCACGTTGATTCCTCAAAACTATCCCCTTCCTTCCATTCAAACAGCTATCATCAATTCAGGTACTTATCACCTCCCATTTGGACAGCTATGGTGGCTTTTTTACTGGTCTCTCCCCTCACCAATCTATTTTTTACTGCACTATCAAATTATCTTTCTAAAGCACAGATCATGTCTCTTCTCTGCCCAAAAAATCTTCAGTAGATCCTTACTGTCTTTAGAATAATATACAAACCACCTAGTTTGGTATTCAAGGCCTTTTATAATCATAAATCCTTCTGTTTCCTGTAGCTGAAAGTATTTTCTCCTACCTCAAATTTTCCAAGAACAGTCTAAATTTTTCCTTCCAGCTCCACTCCTTTCCTCACTCCTTTCATGACATTACTTATTTTTGTACATGTTTTATCTCCATATGCAGTAGAATCTATCTCCCAGTAGAATGAAGAGTTCTTTGAGAGAAGAATCTGCATTATTTCAATTTTATATTCAATTTTATTCAATTCAAATTTTCACCAGCACCTGGTGCAGTACCTTGAAAACAGTAGGCACTGCCTGTTTACTGAATTGTTGCAATGAATTAATCCAATCTTTAATTTGTGTGCCCTAATAAAAAATTATTTAAAGGTATATAAGTGTAAATATGTATATCAATACATATATACAGAGACATATCTAAATATGCAGATATACACATATACAAATTCCTATACATACAAACACACAGGATTTTCCTGATAACCTTTTTTAATCTCGTTAGATTCTATGACAAATATTTTTAAAAATCATGTGGCAGACTTAATTTAACAAGTTTGCTGCATCTCATTTATTTTTAATTTGTTTCTCCATCAATCATTCAATCTCAAAAGACTGGGATTTAAGAACATACATCCTTTTATAATAACTAAAAAGTAGTCTTATTATCTGATGTTAAGCAACAATGGAATTAATTATACTAAATTAGGTTCATGTAACATGACGTATTACTTACTAATCATGTAGAGTACTGAGTAATCTTTATTTTCCTGAGCACCAGTACATAAGAGAAAGATGACACTTTTTAAAACTTGAGCTATGAATTCCACATTCGACTGAGGCAATATGCAAAAATTTATGGATAAATTTAGTCAATTATTTCAACTAATTATTATATGCACTTTTATTCTATATTATCTCAAATCACTAATTTCTAAATTTCTTAAATAATACAGTTCAGTATCATGACATAAATGCAGTCTTTTAAAATATTATTTCCTAATTCTAAAAAATATTTCATGAAAGTCAAAAGTGTACAGTCAATAAGAAAAAAATACACTTACTATGACACTATAGACTTACATACTATGGTGGGAGCATGTGCACCACCCCACATTATTTGCAAATCAGGTGGTTTTTTTTTAAACTTGCTTAATGATCTGTGCTTTTCCTGAAAATATTTTAAAAATAAGCTTACATTATTGACATAAGAAGCCACACTCTAAGAAATGGACCAAACTTCATTTTAAAATATAAGATAAACAGAACTTGGGATGTAATTTTACTTATTATCATACAGTGAAATTCTAAATTTAGCTACTAACCTCAAAGATGTCTAAGAGATATTTCCTCAAACTTTTGAAAGAACAAGCCACAGTCTTTCTACGTATACCCAAGCAAGTAAACTGTGGTTGTCTCATTTGAAGGGGTAACTACATTCTTTCTGCCAAACAACAGATTTTGCTCCCGAAAGAATGTTAAATACTCCTTTGTGTACAACTGGCATGGCTCCACGACCAATTTCTGGGGCTCCTATCTAGGTGTTAAGAAGCGGAGTTAACAGAGCCTGAACTCTGTCTCTAAATGGCTAATAAAAAAGGCCTAATGACTCTAATCAAAATTAATAGTGACCTAATAAAGTGGACATAAGCAGCAAGTATCACCACCTAATGAAGAAAGAGAAGGGAACTCCTTAAGAAATACATTTTTTAAATGAATGAAAGAAGATTGACCCACAGAAATGAATAGCTTCTCTATTCTTCTTTTAAGCATTGTGCATGCAACCAATTTTGTCTTGGTAGAGTAGAAGAGTACTGGACTAGGAAAATGGTGATCTGAACTCTAGCCCACCACTAACTCAATGTGTTACCTCTCCAGGGTGCTTCTAGCACTAATAGCATAATTCGATTTTATTCACCCCAGGAAAGTTCATTTTCCCACATTTTAATTATATTATGAAAGTGTCTCATACAGTATCATCATTGTTCCTGGGCATTAAATTTTAAGAGACATTGATAAAACTGAAATATTTGCAGAGAAGGATGTCCAAAATGATGTGATATCTTGAAGTCATAGTGTCTGGGAAATAGCTAAAGGAAGGAGGGATGTCATAGCTTGGAGACTAAATAGTGACAGGATAGTTGCCTTCAAGTATTTCAAAAATCGTCGGGTAGAAGAGTAATTAGGCATATTCTATAATGGAAGCTCCACTTAAAGAACTGAATAACAATTAGATTTGTTTAAAAAAAGGAAAGCAAAGTATTGAGTATCCTGTCACTCCAAGTGTTCCAGCAGAGGCTACAAGACTTGTTAGGGCTGCTGTCCAGATCCCTGCAGAGGGTAGAGGGTGGTGAGAATCACTGTTAATTGTTGGCACCATCTAGTGGCAAAAATCACCCAGTGATCTACTTAAATTGAGTTTCATTCCCACATAACTGGATTCACATTAAAACTATCCTAAATGTTAAATAAAACTTAATCTTTAATTCATCTCTAAAGCCCCCAGGCCAAAAAGAGTATGAATTAATCCCAGTAAGCGACAAAACACTTTAAATTTATGTGACCAAGCATTAAAAAAAGGGAGAGAAAGAAATCATTTTTCACTAAGGAATTGCTTGCAGATTATCATGAAATTAGATACTAATTCCCAAAAGATATTAAGATTAGAAATTATAAAGCAAACACAATGTTTGTGTAAATTACTTGAGAATAATTATATGGAACAATGTGAAATTTGTAAATATTAATAATGTGAAATTTCATAGAATTATTGTTTTGAAAGGTAATTAAGAATATCTACAATTACCTATTTTAGTTCTTATCTTTAACAATCAAAATTGATGGTTAGGATTATCTCATAGAAAATTAGATATGAATGATCCAACTTTTAGTTAAAGAAAATTAGGATAATTAAATAATAATTGATATCCTATACTCTTAGAATAATTTTCAAAATATTCAAGGTCTGCTTACTGAGACTGCCATAAAGTATCAAAAGTGATTTTCTCTCTCTCTCTTTTTTTTTTAGGCAATTGGGGTTAAGTGACTTGCCCAGAGTCACACAGCTAGTAAGTGTCAAGTGTTTGGTCTGAGGCCGGATTTGAACTCAGGTCCTCCTGACTTCAGGGCCAGTGCTCTCTCCACTGCGCCACTTAGCTGCCCCCAAAAGTGATTTTCAAAACACATTGAAGAATATATAAAATAAAAACATGTAAATAAATGATACTGCAATTCATTTTATAGAGGAACAAAATGTTTAGAAATATTACAATATTTCAAAAATCTAAAAACATGAACATCTTTAACTATACTTTGCCATTATGGAAGCTTCTTTTTTAAAAAAAACATCAGTCATATTCATTTAAAAATATATTAACCTTCCATTTAATTTTCAAAATGGTTTATTTGGTTATCTAGTCATTCATTTTACTAATACAACTATTTCCAGCCTGGGAAGGAGACTGCAGTCACAAATACAAAGAGTTAATGTAGTGATAGTGAAAAGAGAAGTAGTTCTTCTATTAAACCAGATAAAGAACTACTTGAATTGTTTAACTTCCTTAGGTTTCAATTTCCTCTTCTGTAAAATGAATACAAAATCCTTGTCTCAACTATTTCCCAGGATTGCTATGAAAATTAAAGAAGATAATGTGATAGAGTAGAAAGGGTACAGATATTAAGTCCAAGGACCTGAGTTCAAATCCCAAACTCTGATACTAACTTAAATGTATGCCCTCAGGCAAGTCATTTAATCTCTCTGACCTCCAGTTTCCTCAGTTATGAAAATGAAGGGATCTGATTTAATGATCTCTAAATGATGAGATTCTTGATGAGTCTTCCTTTCCAATTTGATTACAGGATGCTTCCTGTCTCTCAAGTAAACTGTTCTTTCTCACACCTGACATACCAACTCTAACTCCCTATCCTTATACTGCTTTCCCTCCTCATTTCCACCTTAAAATCTCCAGCTTCCTTAACAATTCAACTTGCGCCCATTTCTACATCAATAGTGTCAAACTGAAATAGAAATGAAGCCATTAACCCATACATAAGGATCACTGGGGACCACACAATGACTTAGCTGAAAAGTATATTATCTGTATTTTGTTGTACTTTTATTTTGTTAAATATTTCCCAATTTCATTTTAATCTGGTGTTGGCCTCACTCAGGAGTGTCATGGGCCAAGTGTGGCCCATGTGCCATGTGCCTAACACTTCTTTTCTATGTGAAGCTTTTATTTATCCCCTCAGATGTTACTATTTTCCCTTCCATGTTACTTTGTATTTGCTATGTGCAGATGTGAGTGCTTGCATGCATTCATGTGTGTGTACATTGTCTCCTCAAAAGAATTTAAGTTCCTTGAGGGCACAGACTTTCATTACTGCCTTTCTATCCCCAGCACCTTGTACAATCCGTGTCACAAAACAGATATTTAAGAAATAAATGCTTATTGATTGTCTGATCACTCTCTAAGAACCCTTATAATTCTAATGCCTACATCTTATGACAATATTGTATACTATTTAAAAAGCATCAAGTACTGTAGAAATATAATGTATTCTTATTAAATATTTGCCAAAGATTCCAGATTGAGTTTGTTGTATAACCAAGACTGCTCTGGAGCTTCAATGGCACTTTGTGCTAGCAGCAACAGAGAACCATTTAAACTTATTGAAAAATGGAATAACATAATCAGAAGCTGTGCTTTAGGGGTATCAACTAACCATATTTCTTGAGCTATGTTTTCATATTATTTCTTTACTTTCTGTGAATTTTTTTTTAACTTGGGACCACCAGGTTATAAAGGTGTATGTTTTTACCTGACAGATATACTACTGGTAGACTACTCAGTAATCTGAAAACAGAACAATTGGTAGCTGACAAGTGCTTTAAAATTCTGGATGGCTTCTTTTCTTCCTTTTTCCTTTCTTTAAAAAAAAATTTTTTTTCAACCTCACATAAATGGAATTAGTCCTTGACCATTCATTCTATATGATGTCATTTGGGGTAACTTGTCCAACCAGCAGCCTGTTACTGTCCATGACTAACTGTAAGTGTTTATGATGGAATTGTTTTTCTACATTAAAAAAAACAGAACAGAATATCAACTAATCAACAATCATTTATTAAGTACCTACTTCATGCTAGACACTGTGCAAAATATCACTGTGTCAGTTGTGCAGAAATGAATTAGAAAGAGAAGAGACTGGACAGAGGAAGACCAATTGGGGGTGAGGGATGGGGGCAGACGTTTATACAATTGTCCAGCCAAGAGCTAAGGAGCACCTCACTTGGGACGGCTGGCTGTGCAAGTAGAGAATGGGATGGATGAGAGAAAGAGGTAATACAGAGAAAAGGGCATGAATTTTTAATCAAAGGACCTAAGTTCAAATCCCTGTGATGCTTACTTTACTTGTGTGGCCTTGGCCAAATCCCTTCACCTCTCTGGATCTCAGTTTCCTTAATTGTAAAATGAGGGAATTCGGTTATATGGTCTCTCTTACAGCTCCATATCTATTTCCCTATGATCCATCTTTTCCCACTGACAAGTCTTGGCAACTGAATGGCTGAAATAGGGTAGAAACAGAAGGAAGAGTTGAGGATGACTGAAGCTGTGAATCTAGGTGACTGAAAGGGTGGTGAAAAGAAAAAGAAAGAAGCAGGTCAGGAGAAGAAGTGAGTTTAGGTGGGGAACTATGAGTTCTGTTTTGGACATAATGAATTTGAGAAGGCTATGGGACAACCAGATGGACAGGTACAGCAGGCTACTGGGAATATGGGACTTGACCTCAGGAGAAAAATGAAGGTTGCTCATCTACACATAAGAGTCATCTGCATGGACAAGAGAATTGAACCCATGGGAGCTGAGAGATCTCCAAGGTGGAGGTTAGAGAGAAGAGGGCCCAAGTCAGAGTCCTAAGCTACATTCACACATGGGGATGCGTCAAAGACGGTAATCCAGGAAAGGAGACTGAGAGATCCAAAGATAATCATTTTGGCTAACGGCCTCAAATTCCTTAACTACCACAACTTTTAACAGGACTATGTTGCAAAACTAACGGATTAGAGGAAAATTATTTTTCCTTTACCTATCTAGGCTGCGGTAGTAGGTTTCACGAATGTCAGAAAACAAGGGGCATGGATAATTCGCCAATGAAAAAGATACATGAATATTCAAAATTTTATTATGGCTATGTCTAAACATATATATTGGCTCTGATTTGTTTATATGTTGGCTATTTCACATCAAAATATTAAAACCTATTTTGGTTTTTAACTTTTTAATTAATTCTGTTTTTTATAATTCAATAAATATTTATTTATGTACCTTGCCTGTTATTGTTATCCTCTGTTCAAAGCCCATGTTGTTATACTTCTTTTTCTTCCTTCTTGAGTAGATCAAAAAGAGGGCAATAGAAAATGCTGGTAATATGGACTCTTTATATCATTGTAGGCAGATACCAATGATTTATTATTAAAAAGCAGCCCAAATTATGACAGAAATAAGGCATATTGTCATGCCAGATCACCAAGTTCACAAGAGTAGAAAATGTTTGTTCAATGCCTACTATACCTGTTTTACTATAAGTTTTTTGCCAAAAAACAAAACAAAACCCACACATACACACAAAAATAATCCAAACATTACATTTTAAAAACCACAATAATAAGCTTTTAAGACACTGAAGTAACACTTACCATTGACTTCAGCATGAACCACAGCAGACTGAGAAATCAGTTGGTAAGTTTCAAAGCCCAAATAAGACAATGCTGAGATTATAAGGCCCCTTTTGAAAACTACAGCATTTCTAAGAATCTAAGGAAGCAAATGGTAACAGTTATCAAACTGCTGCAAAATGTGACTTGATATCCTTGACAAAAATTACATCATTTTTCCCCTGTCTGCTTCCCTCCCCCTAAATAACACATCTTAAGGATAATGGACAGTCAAGGAAAGTAATTATTTATTTTGACAAATTCTTTAGTGAGACAAATTTCACACCAATACAACATTTATAATCACTTCTTAGAGACAGCAAGATTTAACACAGTCTAGTGAATAAGGCTAACTGCTGTGGGGTAATCTTGTGTGAAATCTTGGGCTACATCAACTCATAAGGTTATTTTTTAAGCTGGACAGAAGTTGTGAAGGTAGAAGACACCTCAGAGACCACCTAGTTCATTTTATGTTTGGCCTACAGGGCATTATATAGAGGAGAGAACTGAGATCTAGGGAGGATGACTTGCTCACAGTCACAAAAGTAAGTAAACATCAGAGGTGGGATTTAAAACCAGGTTCTCTGACTGCAGAGCCACTGCCCCTTCTGACACCCCATGACGCAAATATTTAAAGTGTAAGAAATAAAAAAATTTTTACTCACATACTTAGGGATAGCCAGATATCTAAAAATTTTTGGTTTAAAAAAATCCAACATTTAGTTTAAAATATTAGGTTAAAAAAGTTAACCATATCTCTGAGAGACAGAGGGAGGGTCCTACGAAATTTGCTTTAATATATGTATAAAGTATTACTTATTACATACCTGTCCTGATTCAAAATAAATGAGAGCGCAAAGGAATATGAATAACTATGGACCAGTAAAATGCATCTAATCCAGAATTTTTCCAACTGGTGCCTCCTCCAAATAAGCAAAATAGCATTCAAATTAGTGTTTGTATTTTGTCTTCTACTGTATATGGGTCTAGGGCCACAATTTTCCATGTTGTACCTATGGGTTATAGTGCTTTCCCAATTATACACACTCTCACACACAGACAGAATTTAAATAATTTCCTTATAACATAAAGCTATGAAATGTCAGAATGAGGGTTAAAATTCACATTTTTAGCTCCCAAGTATGGTATTCTCTCCATTATGTGTGTGTGTGTGTGTGTGTGTGTGTGTGTGTGTGTGTGTGTGTGTGTATTCAAATCTGGCTTCAGGCATTAGCTATATGACGTGGGCTAGAAATTAACTTTGCCTCAGTTTCCTGTTCTGTAAAATGAGCTGGAGAAGGAAATGGCAAACCACTCCAGTATCTTTGCCAAGAAAAACCCAAAGAGTTGGACATGATTTAAACAACTGAACAGCAATATATGATATAGTTATCCTTTCTACATTGTGGGGGTTAGGGATTCAGCACCCCCTACAATCTGGAAAATCCATGTTGAATTTTTTGGCCCTCCCTTCATATCACTAAGTCTGAATTTTTTTCTTTTTCTTTCATGGAGTGTTTGCTGTACCATATTATAAAATTTGGGTTGATATTATATAATACTATGCATATATTTTACGCATTTCTGAGTTTCTAAACTTTTTCTGTGTCATCTACTGGCCTTTGTGTGTCTTCTGCAGCTTCTGCAAAACTCCCCCCAAATTCCTATTTAATATTTTATGCCAACCCGTGATATATCAAAATTGCAATAGGAAAAGTTGCAATGTGGAAGGGATAACTATATTATATAGGTTGTACTCTATTACAGAAACATTTATTATACTTATATAATAATATAATGATACAAACATACTCATATAAACAATATTATATATCTATGTTATATAACTGAGCTGCAGTGGAAAGAATACTGGACTTTGGAGCTAGAAAATTAATTTTAATCCTTACTCTGACATTTAATTGCTCCATGTGCAAGTCATTTACATTCCCTTATGTCTCTCAGTTTTCTCATCTGTAAAAAGGAGAAATTAATACTGGCACTCCTAGCTTATATCAGGTTGAGCCTTTAAGTCAGAAAATGTGAGGACACCACTTGGTAAACCTTAAAGTGCAACATAAATGTGAGTTTGTAGAAATAGCAGTTGTATATATTCCCCACTTAAGATTTAATCAATAAGCATTTACTAAGTGCCTACTATGTGCCAGGCACTGTGTTGAGCACTGGGAATACAGATATAAAAGACAGTCCCTTTCCACAAGGAGCTGACATTCTACTGGATGTGGCCCTGATTTCTCTCAGGTATGCTAGTAGAAAGTAAGGTCTGGAAGGGCCTACTATTCTAGAAAGTGTTAGAGTATAGGCCTCAATAAGTTCAGACTAATTATGAAAAGGTTAGCCAATAGGTGATCAGTTTTTCTTCATCATAATTCATGAAGGCTACTAAAGTATAAAGGAAAAATATTATATTACTGAAGAAAATAACCACATCAGTCAAAACCATAGATCTTAAAGTATCCCAATAAACATAAATATCCATATATGAATATATATACACCTACAACTTAATATTTCATTTATTTTCATAATGGTTTACAAGTAAGAAAAAAATGCTTGGTGCCTGGAGTACAAGAAGAGAAAATTTCACTCAGTCACAAAAAATGATAGCTATAGTACAAGAAGAATTATACCACTGGGCAGTTGCTTAACTTCCCTAGACTTTAGCAAACAGTATAAAGAATTGTTCATAATTGTAATGTTTAGCAACAGTATGAAAAACATCTTGAAATTAAATAATGAAAATAATTCAAGTTCATTGATTCGTAAGTATTAAACTTTGCATGTTGGCAAATACAGAGGTCTTTAATTAGCACAATCAACTGTCATTTGATCACTATAGCGGTCATCAAAAATTGAGTGACAATGCCAAGTATGTAAAGAAAATCTTATTCCATAGAAGATACACACATACTGCTAGTGAAAGAGTATGAAAATACAAATAAATGGGCTCAGAAAGCTCAAGATATCATCCCTGATACTTTCTAGAACCACTTCATGATGATGAGAAAGTTCCTGTCTACTGCTGTAGATTCTTTATCATGGATGATCCAATTTAGAATGGAAGATATAAATAAATAACTTTATTACAGGTCTACGAAAAAGATGTATAAGAAATTTGAGCATGGAGAGCACACTTTCAACTGGGTCAAAGAAAGCTGCATGGAGACACCAAGCGCCTTGCAAAACTTCAAACTGGGGTATACATTCCAGACATGGGGTGGGAGGAGAGATGATGTGGCATGAACAAAGGCACTGAGACAGAATAAGACAAGATGAAAACAGGTGACAATGAGTAAGTAGTAGAAGGGGAATAATACGAGATAGGATGGAAAGAAAGATTTGAGCCAGATGATAGAGGGCCTTGGGAATACCAGGATCTGGAACTTATATTTATTTGGTAGGCAACTGGAAGTCACTGAAGGTTTTTGAGAGGGGAAGTACATTGTGTGTTACAAAGATTACTTGGGCAGTAGTGTGAAGGATGGATTGGAGGAGAGATAGATTGGAGATAAGAAGACTAGTTAGGAAGCCATTCTATTTCATATTCTATTGTTTTTATTTATTATATAATATATTATTGATAAATGAATATATAATTATATATTATAAAAGCATTATATTAATTTTATATAAATATACAACATATTATATGTATATAATGTCAATATTTATTATATTATGTTATAATAGTTTACAGGAGAAAACAGAAGGTGGCTGTTAAGAGTAAATAGTAAGGGTTGGTCACAGAACCAAACGGATTTGGCAACTATTTGGGCAAGTGGTGGAGATGGCTGGTGTTTGCAAACACTTAACAGTATACATACTAGGCACTTTAATAAATGTCTGCTGAAAATTAAAACAACTTTGAGGTACCCCCTCACACCATCATATTGGCTAATATATAACAGAAAAGGAAAATGATAAATGTTGAAGATGTGGGAAAATTGGGGCACTAATGCATTGTTGACGGATTTACGAACTGATTGAATCATTCTGGAGAACAATTTGGAACTATGCCCAAAGGACAAACAAACTGTGCATAACCTTTGATCCATCGATACCACTGCTAGGTCCATATCCCAAAGAGGTCATAAAAAAGGGGAAAGGACCACATGTATAAAAATATTTATAGCAGCTCTTTTTGTGGTGACAAAGAATTGGAAATTACGGGAATGCCCATCAATTGGTGAATGGCTGAACAAGTTGTGGTATACCAATAAAAGGGAATACTATTTGTACTATAAGAAATGACAAGCCGGAAGATTTCAGAAAAACCTGGACTTAAATTGATGCTGAATGAAGTGAGCAGAACCAAGAGAACATTGTATACAGTTAACAGCAACACTGTGCAACAATCAGCTAGGATTGATTTAGCTCTTCTTAGCAATACAATGATCCAAGACAATTCCAAAAGACTCATGATGGAAAATGCTGTCCACATCCAGAGAAAGAAGTATGGAGTTTGAATGCAGATCAAAGCATACTATTTTCACTTTCTTTTTTTATGGGTTTTTCCCCCTTTTGTTCTGTTTCTTCTTTCACAACATGACTAATGTGGAAATGTTTTACGTGATTGCACAGGTATAATCTCTATCAGACTGCTTACTGTCTTGGGGATTGTGGAGGGGAAAAAGGGAGGGAGAAAAATTTGGAACTCAAAATCTTTCCAAAAATGAATGCTGAAAATTGTCTTTACATGTAATTGGAAAAAATAAAACACTATTAAATAAATTTTTAAAAGCTAATAACTGAATAGAGTGAGACTGGGACCTAGCACAAAAAGGAAGTATATGAAATGAAACAGGTGAGTGTATACTGATTGCTGAGAACTACATGCTTTTGATAAAGCTTGACTACAAGAGCACTTACAGACAGGAAATGAACCTGGACCAAAACCAACTGGGAAGAAGGAATAAGATGAAAGAGGGGAAAGCAACTGTATAAGTACAACAGGAGAGGGATTGGGGGAGAGGAGCAGAAAACCTAAGATGAACCTTCTACCCTTAGAACTTCTATGTCAAAGGTGAACAAATACATGGATATGCAACTACGCAAGCAGAGAGGGGGCCATGTTCTGTAATTTTAAAATGAGGGTAATAATTAATGCTATAAATGTCCCTTCCAGTCAATCAGAAAACAAGCCTTTATTAGCACCTACTATGTGCCAGACACTCTGCTAAGCACTAAATATACAAAGAAAGGTAAAAGCCAGTCCCTGCTTTCCTCTCAGTCTAATAGAGGAGACAACATGCTTACAACTATATACAAACAAGATAGATACATGATACATTTGACACTACAATTAGGAGGACTCAAAAAAAGCTTCCTGTAGAAGGAGGGATTTTAGCTGGCACTTGAAGAAAGCAAGGGAAGCCAAGAGGCAGAGATGAGGAGGGAGAAAATTCCAGGCATGGAGAACTAAAATGCATGAAGAAATGGAACATCTTGGGAAGGAACAGCCAGGAGACCAGTGTCAATGTATCAAAGAGTGTGTGGAGGGGAGTAATGTGCAAGAAGACTGAAAAAGGAGAGGAGGACTGGATTATCAAAGACTCTGAATGCCAATGATAGGCAGTTTTTTGAGTAGTTGAGGTGACTGTCAGACCTGCACTTATGATCACTTTGACAGTTGAGTGGAGGATGAACTGGAGTGGAAAGAGATTTGTAGCAGGCAGACCCACCAGTGATAGTCCAGGTATAAGGCGATAAGGGCCTGAACCATGGTGGTTAGCACTATCAAAGGAAAGAAAGAAAGAGGTGTATGCAAGAGAGTTTATGAAGACCAAGGTAACAAATTGAATATGAGGAGAGAGAGTCAGGACTTTAGATTTCCAGCCATGGATTGAGAGGATTGAGGTTCCCGTAATATTAAAAGGAAAGTCAGGAAGAAGGGAAGGTTTAGTGGGAAAAAAGAGTTCAATTTTCGACATGTGGAGTTTAAAATGTCTATGGGACATACAGTTTGAGACGTTCAACAGGCAGCTGGATCTGTGAGACTAGAAGTAAGCAGAAAGGGTAAAGTTAGATAAATCGATTTGAGAATCATCTGCATAACTGAACCATGATAACTGAATCCACCGGAGAAGTGGACTGAGCTCAAGACAAAAGCTACAAGACTTAACAACTGCCCAGATATGTGGGTTGTGAGAGTAAAGTAGTTGAGGATGACCAGCAGAGCTGAATTAGGTTTCCAGGCCACACTAAGACATTCTTTCCTTAGTTGTACTGAGCAGTGAATAAAAGTGTCATTAAATACTTAAATCATGGAACACTTATTTATTCTTTTATCTAGGAGATGGCAATTGCACATGTATATCCAAGTAAAATAATCCAGTAGACAACTGGAAGTACATTATTAGCACTCTGGGGAGATGAGAGGGAGGAGACTGAATTGGGAGACATAGAAATAGAGGTGATAACTGAAGCCAGACATAGGAATAGATGAGGTTGTCAAGGGCAAAACTGTGGAGAAAGAAACGAACAGGTCAAGGACAGAAGCCTGGGATACACCCAGAGGTCAAAGTATGAGGATCCAGCCAGTAAAGTAGAAAGTCTGCCAAGGGAACACTGGATTTGGTGATAATATATTAGTGACTTTGGAAAGAACAGCTGCGTGAGAGCAGCGGGCAACGAAGCCAGATTACAAGGGGTCAGAAAGTGAGTAGTTTTAAGAGACAGAGTTCTAAGCAGGGTTTGCTGGTCTGTTTTAGAAGTGAAGGCAAAGATCAGAAACCAACAAACCCTACTTAAAGTGAAAATAAACCGGTATTTAATGACAGTCAGGAAGGCAGGCTCTTCGGGTGTGGACAGCAGCGGCCGCCCAGCAGCTCCCCGGGCTCTTCGGAGACCAAGAGTCGCTGGCAGGTGGACTGGGCTTTAGGCTTTGCAAAGCACTCTACACACGGTATCTCGTTAGAGCCTCACTACAGCCCTTGGTGCTGCTATCATCCCCATTTTACAGATGAGGAAACTGAGGCCGACAGCTGTTAAGCGACTGGCCCCCTGGGTCACGGGACGAGGCGGGGTCCGGGGCGGAATTTCATCCCGGGTCTTTCACACCGTCCCCCACCTCACCCCCGCCCTTCAGCTCAGCCAACACCCCCATCCACCGCGCCACCCCCACGGGCACCTCGGACACCGACCCGGGGAAGGCGGAGGAAATACCTCGCTGCCACCTAGCCAAAGGCTCGGACGGCCCCGCCGCCCGCAGCCCGCCGCCTCGGGCCCCGCCGTAGCCCAGAGCCGCGTGCGAAGGTAGGGGAGAAGCCCGCGCAACCGCACCGCGAACGCCATCGCTGGGACTGAGCCGCGAGTGGAGCCGCGAAGGCCGGAGCCCTCCTTGGCCCCGGCCCTCACGGGGCAAAGGGCAGGGAGGAGGCTCCCGCCTCGAAAGTGCCACGAGGAGAAACAGGGTCCCGGCTCTGGACGTTCCTATCGAACCACTGAGAGAAGTCGGCCGGAGCTTCCCGGGAAGACCCCGGCCCCGAGCTCGCTTAAGCTCGGAGCATGCGCCAAGGGGCGCCCTTCGTTCCGGCTTGGGCGTGGTGTTTGCTTGTGGTCTCTCTAAGAACGGGGACTTCTTTTTTTTTACCTTTCTTTACATCCCCAGCGCTTAGCTGGAACATAGTAGACGTTTAATAAATGCTGGTTGACTTGCTAACTGACCCCATGCCAGGTAACCTACGGGATACAGGTTCGTTGTGCAAGAATTTCTTCCTAGGAGGGGCAGCTGGGTGTCGAAGTGGACAGAGCACTGGCCCTGAAGTCAGGAGGACCTGAGTTCAAATGCGGCCACAGACCAATCACTTGACACTTACTAGCTGTGTGACCCAGGGCAAGTCACTTAACCTCAATTGCCTAAAAAAAAGAAATAATAAAATTTTTAAAAAATTTCCTCCCGGGGCAGCTAGGTGGCGCAGTGGATAGAGCACCGGCCCTGGGGTCAAGAAAACTTAAGTTCAGATCCTGCCTCAGACACTTCTAGTTCTATAACTCTGGACAACTCACTTAACCCTGTTTGCCTCAGTTTCCTCATCTGGAAAATGACATGGAGAAGGAAATGGTAAACTACTCCAGTATCGTTGCCAAGAAAACCTCAAGTCGAGAAGAGTCACACAGCTAAACAACCAGAAGTGCGTACTGTGTTGGTACTATTAGGCATTGTCAAAAAGAAGCAAAAAAGAGTCCCTGCCCTCCAGGAGCTTGCAATCTAATTGGGAGATAACATGCAAACAAAGCAAGCTCAAGATAAATAATTCACTGAGGGAAGGCACTTCACAGAATAGTGTTTTTAAATGCAAAAAATACAATTCATAGGATTACCAATTATTGAAATAAAGATGTATTTTTTTCTCTTCCAAGATAAGGGGTACCTGAAATCTATCCAGTGTGAGAAATGAATATTTCTTTCTTACATTTAATAACTGACTATTTTATTAGGACCAAGGTCTTTCCCCTTTTCTACTTCCTCATCCAGAAACCAATCAGGGTGGGAAATCTATCTTAAAGATTTACCCCAGGCCAAGATCTAATCAGACAGTAAAAGAAATTCTAAGTTTGGGCTAATGGGTGTATTCCTGCTTATTGTTTTTGCTCTTACAGATCCTGGGAGAGGTTGATTCTCCCTTTTATTAAGACAGGGAATATCTCTTTGACCAAGATTTGAGTGACCTAAGTCACTACTCCAAGACCTTCATTTTAATATAGCCATACCTCCCATTGTGTCAACCAATCCAAGTTGATTGCCATTCCCCAGGAACACCTACTTTTCCAAGGGCATGTAAACTGTGACCCCACCACCATTAAGGGTCTTTGGTCTAGACAGACAGCCAAATGACCATCCTTTTATTAATAATGTGCTGGCCTTATTAATAAAATGATTAGTTACCCAGAAACTATGTCTCTCTAATCTTTTTGCCACACCAGAGACCTCTTAATCCGAGGTTCAGAACTCTAGTCTTATAGGATAGGAACTGGACCTGAGATTGGTATAAGAGCTCTTGAGTGAGAAAATACCTAGTAATGCAGGTTAGCACCTTGCAATTTATAGTCTTAGAGAGTTTCCTAAGGCCCTAGGAGGTTCTTTCACAAAGTCACTAAGACCCTATGTGCTAGAGAAGGGACCTGAACTCGTCTTCCTAATTCTAAGGCCAGCTTTCCTCATTCTGACTTGCTGACTCATATATTATCTCTGATGGGATTTGGGATTTGTGCTGGACCCTAAAAGGACCCCAAAGACCCTGAACCAAGTCTCATCCCAGTATAATCCTTTTAACTGCCTTTCATTGTGGCCCTCATTGTCTGCACCTGGCCCTACCCCAGGCTATTTCACCACTCCTTAATTCCATCTAGATCTTTTATCTTCCAGTCACCCCAAACTATTGGCCACTCCTTGATCACATCCAAATCTTCCCACAGTCTCTGTCCTTAAGAGTCTGGCCTACTTCTATTGACAATACAATAAACCTTGTCTCTGACTGAAAGAAGGCTTGAGTTGAATTCTTTCAAGGCAGACCCATGCCTTTTGCCTTTGAATTTTGGGGTTCCCAGCACCCTTAGACCACAACACTCCCTTTAAAACAAAAATTCTATGAAGTAGCTATGACAAAGATTATTATCTTCATTTTACATTATCTTCATTTACAAATAAGGAAATTGAGGCTCAGGTTCTACCAGGGTCCCATAGCTAATCTTAGAAGTAAAATTTGAAATCAGATTTTTCTTCGTTGCAAGTACAAATGGAATATTTGTAAAGCACTGTTAAGTGCCTGGGTACGTAGTAAGTGCTATATAAATGCTAGTTATTATTGTTGTTATTATACTCTATGTTAACAATGTTGCAAATTGTAAAATCGAAAATTGATTTTAATTCTATTTGTAAGACTTATTCAAGCTGGCACAGGTTATTACTCTCTCATACCCTGTGAGTCTAAACTCCTTACCCTTATAATTTCCCCTTTCAGGGAAAACATGCTTTACCTCAGTTTTATTTGCGTCACAACTGATTGATACTTGACTAGCTTGAGGTTTCTTACTGATATATCCTGTTTTAGCAGGTTCTGTTTTTTATGTTGGTATAGTGGAATAGAAAGCTGATCTGGGAGTCAGGACAACCTGGGTTCATTCACCACTTCTGACATTTAGCATTGTGATCTTAGACAATTCATTTAATGTCTTTAAGACTATACATTGCATAGGTGCTCATTTGCATTTTAAAGGGAATTTCCTCAACCCAAGTTCCCACTCAATATCAGTGAAATCATAGTTCTTATTAAAAGAATCTTTCACATGAACAGGTTCAATAGTAGGATAGTGGGCTCACTAGAAGCAAGATAATGAAGTCAAAAGCATGCTGAATTTGAAATCACATCTTGGTTCTGCTCCTTGCTAGCTATGGAAATGGGTCACTTTTCTGCCTCCAGATCCTGTGATCCAATAACTTTTTGGCTGATGTGATAAAGAAAGGCCTGGGAGAGGAGGCCACATTTAATCTAGGTGTTGTAGAATTTCAGGAGGCAAAGAGGTGAGATTGGAGGGAATGAAGGACATTCTAGTTTGGCAAAACAGGCAAAGAGAAGCACGAAAATGAAAAAAAAAAACCAACTCTATCTTTGTAAAGGATATGAAAAGTGTTTGGCTAGAGCCAGCACCTTTTCAAATATATATAAGGGCCTCTTTTTTAATATAGAAAAAAATGACAATTTCAAACTTGGAAGGGACCTTCTCTACTCTTCACTTCATAACCCCCCAAAAATCCTTCTAAAAACATACCCAACAAATAGTCATCCAACCTTTGCTTGAAAATCTCCGGTGAGGGAGAACCCAATACCTCTTAAAGCAAACTACTTCATTTTTTAATAGCTCCAGAGAAAGGATAGAGCATCTCCAGGACAGCTGGAGCTCTCTACATGAGGCACTTTGGAGGCATAGTGGGTAAAATTCTGGACTTGGGTCAGGAAGACTTGAATTCGAATCCTGCCTCAGATACTTACTGTGTGATCACAGGCAAGTCACTTTATATCTGCCTGCCTCAGTTTTCTTATCTGTAAAATGAGTATAATAAGAGCACCTACCTCTTAGGGTTTGTCATGAGGATCAAATGTAATAAGCTTTTTAAACCTTAAAGCACTACATAGATATTAGGTTTATTATGATGATTATTCTGTCTCCCTGTCTCTATGGTTTTTGTTGGCTGTCCCCCATACCTGGACATATTCTTTCCTCACCTCCGTCTCTCCGGATTCTTGGTTTCCTTTAAGACTCAGCTTAAGCACCACCTCCAACATGAAGATCTCTTTTCTTGAGATCCCCTCCCCCTAAAAAACAAAAGTACTTGTATTCATTTGGCATATATTATATATATATATATATATATATATATATACTTGCATATGTACACATTCTCCCCCCATTAAAAGACAAGGTCCTTGAGGACAGGGACTCTTTTGCTTTTGCTGATGTTTCTACCATGCTTATTATCTCTTTGCTATCCAGTCTCCTCTTCTCCAGGTTAAACATCAGCTGATTCCTTCAGCTGATCTTCACTTGGCTGGAATTCTAGGCCCTTAGTCATTTTATTTGTCTCTGCTGAATGCTCTCTAGCTTATCAATGACCTTTGTAAAATGTGGTGTAGAGAACTGAACACAATAAAGCTGTGGTCTGACCAGGTTGGAATGTAGGATAACTTTTACCTTTTTATCCTAGGAAACTATGCCTCTCAACACAGGACAAGATTTTGTTAGATGTTTTGGCTGACAGTCCAGCAAACCCCCAGGTCTTCTTAACATTAATTTTTGTCTAGCCAGCCCCCAGTGCCACCCCCATTTAGTTTTTGTGAAATTGGTTTCTTAGAATCTCTTAGTTTTTTTCTTTTTTTAAAAATATGTTTTTATTGATGTCTTCTGTTTCTTATATCACCATAGTTATTGCCAATATTCTTCTCCCTCCCCTTTCCAGAGAACTATCCCATATAACAAATAGTATTTTTAAGAGGAAGAAAAAATCAGTGTAACTGATCAATACATTGAAAAAGTCCAAAATTATGTGTAATGTATAATACCTGTGGATCTTCCATGTCTGTAAAGTGGTGGGTTGGGGATGTCTTCTAATATTCCTTCATTTGAGTCATACTTATTCTTTATAATTTTGTTACATTCACTTTTGATTTTTTGGTTATGGCCATTCTTTCCATTTACGTCACTGAAGTTATCATATATACTGTTTTCTTAGCTCTGCTTACTTCATTCTATATCAGTTCATGTAGATCTTTCTATGTTTCTTTGTACTCATCACATAACATCATTTCTTCCAGAACAGTAATATTCCATTACATTCACATAACATAATTGGTTGAGCCATTCTTCAGTTGATAAACATCTACTTTGTTTCTAATCTTTGCTATCACAATAAGTGTTG